GCCCCCCGCCCCCCCCCCCCCCCCCCCAAAAAAATAGAGGTAGTGGGATTCATTAAGCACCTTGTCCTCTTATTACCACTGGAAGGAATCCAAAACCACCCATGCCTTTCATTATAAGTAGATCAAAGTCTTTTCTTTTTTTGGAGGGGGCGGGGGGTGGCTGACCGGTACAGGGATCCAAACCCTTGACCTTGGTGTTACCAGTACTATTCTCTAACCAAGTGGGCTAAGCAGCCAGCTCATTTTTAGAAACTTCTATCGTTTCCTTCCTGCCCAACTTTTGATTTTGAACTGAAGAGATGAATAGTGGCAGAGACAATGAGAAACAATTAAATCAAATTGTTTCATAAGGCGCATATATACTCGGACATATCCCTTGCCCTAAGTCGACTGTCATTTCTGATTGCTGAGGTCATAAGCAAGTTATCCTGAAGAGGCACATTCACAGTTTGAGACATCCGGTCAAGTAGATCTTTGACACCATAGATTTGAAAAGGGGTTGTATCCTGGGGAACGCTGGGACTTGGCCCAAGTTTACATTGCAACTTAGTTGCAAAGCCAAGGAAAGAAAAGTCTTCTGACTTCTTGTCCAGGTTTTTAGTTTGGGATAACAAAACTCTTATTCATGATGTATTGAGTGTTCAAAATTGAATTAAGAGCATCTCTGCCTTCAAGGATTCGAATGAGGGAGACTGACAAGCAGTTCCAGTATGACCCAGAGGGTGTACAAGGGAAGGGTTCTTGTTCTGGCTTGGGGGCACTGCTGAGGCAGGCATGGCAAGGTCATAGCCATAGGGCTAAAGATAATCCTTAAGGCTTTCCAGGTGCTTTCTGCCATCCCCATTCTCTGCACTCCAGCCAGTGGGGCTGCTTTTCAGTTCAACTGCTACTCTTTCTGCTTCAGTGCTGTTCTTTTTTTTAACCTGTTGATCCCTCTATAATGCTCATGCCCCACCCCCTTTTGCTCAGCTAATTCATACTCATCCCTCAGACCTTAGCCAAATATTTCTCAAAATGTTTCTCCTTACCCTCAATCTAAGTTCCCGTTGTTATACTCCCATATAGCATCCTATGTGTTTTCTTAAAGTATTGAGTGGTTACTGTCACCCCCAGGCTGTGTTCCATGAGTGCAGGAACCAGCTCTGTTCTGCCCAGAAGACAGCAGGTGTTCAGTATTGAATGAATAATTGAAGTTAAGGAAACAGCTTTGAAGGATATATGGGAAACCACAGGTAAAGGGGGTAGGGTGAGCAGATGAGGACATTTGCTTGGGGGAAGCAACTTGAGCAAAGGCAGTCTTGAAGAGGGTGATGTGTTTGGGAGCTCAAAGCAGTTCTAAATCATCAGGTGGAGGTTAGGGTATGTCAAAAGAGGTGCAGAGACCAGATTATTTTCAGATTAAAATTAGAATTTATCATTGATTCTATAGTAACTTTAGTTTTAATATGTAATATGAGTCAAAATGTTTTGCAAAGGGCCGGCACGTGGCTCACTTGAGAGAGTGCAGTGCTGATAACATCAAGGCCATAGGTTCAGATCCCTATATAGGGATGGCCGGTTAGCTCACTTGGGAGAGTGTGGTGGTGACAACACCAAGTCAAGGGTTAAGATCCCCTTACTGGTCATTTAAAAAAAAAAAAAAAAATTGCAAAAAAGAATTCAGTTTTGGGTTTTGTTTTTTTTGTTTTTTTTTTTGCTTATTCAACTCCCTGGTCCACATAACACCTTGCATCACAAATATTTCAAAAGCTACTCCTTACTTTCAGCAAAACACCACTTTAAACTGCACTCCCTCAGCCCCAGTGTGTATGCCTCTAAAAGGCCTTGCAAGGGAACTTAAGGTTAATGCCCAGTAGTATCTCAAATAGCATGCCCCCTCCTCACAGATTGGCAGTGGGGCAAATTCAACCTCAGCCCCTTGAATTCCACTGAAACCTGCTCATCTGTCATGTAATTTTCTAACTCTAACTTCATAATCCCATTCCTTTTTTTTCAGGAATAAGAGGTCTTTATTGGGTTGACACCAAGAGTCCATGGGTCTATAATCGCATTCTTGGTTTGTTTTCTTTTTTTTTTTTTTTTTTCCTTTTTGTCTTTTTTCGTGACTGGTAACTGGATCACAACCCTCAGTGTCGTGCCCCGTACTGCGACCAGCAACGGAATCACAACCCTTGGTGTCGCGCCCGCACTGCGCTCAACCAGTGAGCAGACCAGTCTCTATATGGGATCCAAACCCTCGGTGGGAGCGCCGCTGCACTCTACCGAGTGCGCCACCGGGCCGGCCCCTTGGTTTGTTTTCTTTCTGATCATCAGAGACCAAGAGAACAATAGAATATAAAAAATGAGTTAATGGGCCGGCCAGTGGCTCACTCGGGAGAGTGCAGTGCTGATAACACCAAGGCCATAGGTTCGGATCCCATATAGGGATGGCCGGTTAGCTCGCTGGCTGAGCGTGGCGCTGACAACACCAAGTCAAGGGTTAAGATCCCCTTACCGGTCATCTTTTTGGAAAAAAAAAAAAAAATGAGTTAAGAACACCTGAGAAAAAGGGTCTTGAAGTTCAAATCCTTACTTCTTGTCTACCTTGGACTTTAGAATAATTCCTTTTCAATTTTAAAAATGAGCATAATGAAAGTACCACATTCTCTATTGGAAAAACATTGTGTACAAACTGAATTTTAAGCTATAACAGTATACAATTCTGTAAATAATCTCAGCCAACTGTGTATGGTCACAAAAAATCAGAACGGTCTTAAAAATTACTGGTGTTTGTCTCCATTGCTGAAGTAAGCACTACCTACAAAGATCTAGTTGAAATAATCAAACTCATCATGGTCAGCCTGAGAAAGCCATTCTTTTGCAGGCTGGCTGGTTAGCTCAGTTGGTTAGAGCACAGCTTTATAATACCAAGGTCATGGGTTTGGATCCCCTTACCATCCATCTGCCAAAAAGAAAAAAGCCATTCCCTTTCCTGGATTTATGAGTATTATTACTATTATTTCTGTTATTGTTATTATTAAGTATTCACTGTTTGGTATGTATTTAATTCTAGGTTCTAAAAAGGATGGGTGTTCCTATTTCAAGTATACTGTGTACATGTAGCAATTTAATCTCCTTTAAACATTGCACTTGTTACATGCGCCTTTGTTCCAAAAAAGGTTGTGACTGGCCAGTTAGCTCAGTTGGTTAGAGCGCCAACTTGTAACACCAAGTTGTAATGAGAAATGTGTGGGCTTTGTAATCAGACCTGTACTTGAATTCTACTCTACGCTGACCTTCAGCAAGTCATTTATCCTCTCTATGTTTCCGGATAATAATGCCTACTTCTTCGGGTTGCGAAGATTAAATTTGAGTCTTAAGGACCTGACCCTAACTGGGAAGGCTTTATATAAGTGGTAGTTCTTTTACAATTGGCCCTTACTTCATAGATAAATTTAAGTCCTGGCATTGAAGATCCTCTAAATGGTTCCCTTTTATTTACCCCCAAGGATATCCTCACCAAACTTTTCTCTGTGGTCCTCACTCCATTAGGCAGTTGAAGGAATGTTCTTTGAACACTCTCCATCTTCTCTTTGGCTGTCTGATTCCTTTGAAATGCCCTTCCACCTTCACATTAACTGACCAGCTGGGTACCTCTCCCTTCCAGGCTCCTGACGTCTCATGAATGCTGCCACATGCATCATACTCCACAACAATTTCTCTCACTTGCATTATTTTTGTGTCTAGTACACACATACAACAGAAACAAAAGCTTCATGAAACGGTATTTACTGTGTGTATCGCACTCCAATTTTTTTTTTTTTTTTTTTTTTTTAAAGATGACTGGTAAGGGGATCTTAACCCTTGACTTGGTGTTGTCAGCACCACGCTCACCCAGTGAGCTAACCAGCCATCCCTATATGGGATCCAAACCCGTGGCCTTGGTGTTATCAGCACCACACTCTCCTCAGTGAGCCATGGGCCGTCCCCTCCAATATTTTGATTTTATTCCATTCTAACGTTTCTGGCAGAAATCCATTAAATCAGGTGATTTTATAACCCCACTAAGTCATGACAACCCAAAGTTTAAAAACAATGAACTAGATCATAAATAAGATCCCTGAGCTCCTTTTGCCTCTCTTACTGCAAAGCACACAACAGACAACCACTCAAACAATTATTTGTTACATTTAACCAAAAAAAAGGGGTCACAATCTCAGGAGTGTGGGTATGTAATATAATTGATCGAAAAGGGAGGGGTGTAAGAATAATAGCCCAAGCATGATGGTAACATTATGTGACCCTCAGCCTCAGTGTCTGGGAGATGATAGGGAGTGGTGGAGACCTTGGAGGACCAGAGTGCCCAGGCCCTGTCTAAAGGAGACACCTGCTGTTCAACTCCAGACAACTGCTGCCAGTTGAATTCCCAGTATTGCTAGATATTTTCAATAAGGACAAGTAGCAACTTAAGTTATTTTTGTGCAACATCCCAATTGTTAAATATTGGCAATTCACTTTACAGTGGCTAGCTGGTACTGGGAACTGAACCCATGACCTTGAGGTTATAAGGCTGTTCTCTAACCAACTGAGATAACTTGTCAGTCCTTTGGCAAGTCACTTTTTAAAATTTAGCATGTCAGTATATTCCAAGAAAATATATCCACCAGATATAGACCTTGGCCTGACAATTAGCAGCTTCTAAATTAAAATTAACCTCCCAGGAAATCAAACTGACTAAATTTCAGAGACTGTGTCACTCTATTCTAATCTTTAGCTTTTTTTCTTTTTTATTTTATTTTATTTTTTGGCGGCTTACCTGTACTGGGATCTGAACCCCTGACCTTGGTGTTATAACACTGTGCTCTTACCAACTGAGTCAACCAGCCAGCTCTGTAGTGTTTTAATAGTTTGAAGGCTAGGATATAAAGGTGAAAGATTCTTTGCCTTGATTGGAATTTTCCTGCCCTAACAAAAGGACTCCAATTAATTTCCATCTTTTCCCAGTTACTCAGTTCCTTACCAACTCTATCCCCAAGTGGCCTGTTCCCAACACCAAGGCTAAAATGTTACTTTCTTTGAATGCTGAGTTTTAGTGCCTTAGCAAAAGACAGGTTTGTTCGCTTACCTTGTTTACTAGAGTTCACAGTCTTGAAGAATAAATAGCAAATCATTTACCCTCAGCAGCCAGTCACTGTTCTCCAAAGCCAGTTTCTGTTGTGGCTGTCTTTGCTCCCGCCCAGCTAGAGCAGTGGATCCGAATAATCAAATTGAGAAATTAATTTCTGGGTAACTTCAAAGAGACAATACAACATTTCTCATGCTGGCATGTGTGTATGAGACAGTGACTCATCTCTGAGAGTTAATTGGGGCCAGTTATGACCAGCCTGACTTGTCAGGGCACCAGAACATCTGGCATAACTTGCTTACTCTAGAAGTTGCCCCCACCCTCTTCTCTCCACACATGCTTGCTTCTGAAGCTCACCATTTTTAAAGCATGGTGTGTGCCTGTCAACATATGATTATTCAAAATGGGAGGGCAATCTGGAATGTCTGAGTAGGAATTCAGATCACAATTAAGCCCTGGCAAGATGAAATCACACGTTGGGGAGAGAAAAACCTGCCTCCTCACCACATGAAAAATGGAGACATCAGCAGTTAAGAGGGTGATTACCTTTTCTTCGTTCTATTTGTATCTTTTTCTATGTGTATGCTAACCCTTTAGCCAGAGCTCCCAATTGCCAAGGAAGCTGGATTTCTCGGTTTTGTTTTAGTGGCGCTGCTTAGGGCTGGTGTGTTTCCAGCACTGCAGGGGAGATTTGAATAAAAGCACAAACGCGCAGAAACTCAATGCCTTCCTCCTAGGGATTCAGTCCGCCCACCCTCAGCCTGCAGGGAATGGTAGGAGACATCTACCCTTTATCTGCTTATATATATTCCATCCCGCCTTTCTGAGATACCCTAGGACAATTCGTCTCAGCTCACCCTCACCTTTCTCATCATTCTGTCTTGGAAGGTTTCCCATTAAGGAATGCACACCCAACTGAGCACAGGATATGTAGGATGCAATTTGGGCCAAATCTACCCCCCTCCACATGGTTGTCTTCAAACGAAAAATAGCGACTATTTGAGCCAGGCCTTACATAAAGTATCATATTTAATTCCCACACCATCTCCATTTAATAGACAAGGAAACCGAGAGATTGGTTACATAAAGTCAAGATCACACAGCAGGTGACAGAACTGGGATGTAGGGCCGAGCCTGTGGTGCACTCGGGAGAGTGCGGCGCTAGGAGCGCAGAAGCGCTCCCTCTGCGGGTTCGGATCCTATATGGGGATGACCGGTTCGCTCACAGCTCTCACTGGCTGAGCATGGTGCGGCCGGTCTCAAAAAGGACAAAAAAAAAAAAAAAAGAACTGGGAAACCCACCTATTTCCATGGTTGCCTCTAATTATCTAATTAATGACTACAAATACCAGCATCCCTTGCGATACCTCATTGCGCAAATGCACACTCCCAAGGGCCCAGTCCAAGCATCTGGATCCAAAACCCAATTAGACACCGCCCCTCTCCGCTCCCCGACCAATGGGAAGGCTGTTGCTAACATGCCTGCTATATTTTTAGCTTTCAGCGTTCTGGAACCACGTGGGTCACCAGAGTCTGGCGGTGTGGGCGGAGCACCCCCAGGGAAGAGGAGAGGTGGGGGAAGGAGAAAGAAGGGGAGGGTGGAGCGGACCCAGGCGGTGGGGGCGCGTGTGTGACGCTCTGCTAGTCGCTGACGCACAAGGCAAGTAGTCCCAGGAGGCGCCCCCGGGCCAGAGCGTTCGGGGGTGTGCGGGTGGCGGCTCGGGCTCCTGCTGCGGCTCTTTCCCGTCTCCCTATCCCCGTGGAGTTTGCCCTCCAGACCGGCGTTTCCCTGCTGCCGTCAAGGAAAGCGCATTTGAACCCCCACCCTACCGTTGCTCTCTGCCCTTGCCTAAAAAAGTGATCAAGGAAAAAAGCGAACTGTTCATAGCTGGAAACTTTCGGATCTCGCCACCCCACATGGGCTAGGCGGCTGCCACTGGGCCGCAACCATCTGGAGTGAGAATAAAGGCGGAGCGGGGCTGAGGAATGGGTGGTCTAAGGGGGAAGAAGGGAGAAGGCTTTACGCGCAAGCCCGCCCGGGCCCCGAGCCTCCCTGGCTGGCAGTCCAGCATGCCTGTGACCTCACCAGGCACAGCCCTCTACTCCGGCCCGCGCGGTCACAGAGACAGTGGATCGCCTGTGCGGAGCGGAGCAGGGGGCCCGAGCGCGCGGGGCTGGCGCGCCTTGCTCCGCCGTCCGCGGGACCACCGGCGGTGCGAGCCCGGCGCCCCTTGCGCGGGCAGTTTGTAGAGGAGAGTAGCTCTCGTTCCCCACACGGGGGTCGCCAGCCAGGGGAAGCAGACACATGTCCGCACTGGGGGCCGCGCCCACGCGGGGCAGGCCGGACTGCGCTCGCGCGCCTGCGCGAAGGCGGCGAGTGGAGGGTTAACTGTGGCGCTCGGCTCAGTTTCCTCGCCGGCCGGCCTCTCCCTACGGCACGGCGTGCCCCAGGCCCGCTTCCCCCTTACCCTCCCCTCCACTTTACGCAGCGCCTGACGAGGCACGAGGCCCTCGGGAGACTCAGGCCACCCCGAGCTCAGGTCCGAAACGTTTCCAGAGCTCGCCTCGTTCCTCAGCTCCGCCACTCACGAAGAGACCGCAACTGAGCGACGGTCTCGGGGAACGGTACAGGCAAACGCTGAAGCGTCGGCCTGGGCTAGGTGCAGGGCTGGACTCGGTGGGGAGAGCACCCGGAGGGCCTGGCATGCCGACCCCGTCCCCACCACATTGGTCCATCCAGCACAGCTCAAGTGAGCACGCACTGCATGCCTGCCCCGAGAGCAGCCCAGTCCCAGGCCAGGTCTCCCTGCACTCCATGAGTTCCCTGTTTACCCGGGGGACACCTTACAGGAGCATGGGTTCAGAGAGGGGTTTTTTTTTTTTTTTTTTTTTTTTTAAAGATG